ATCTTTTCAAACACTAGCCAAAAGAGAGCAGAGTTGACTATGTTAATATCAGACACTTTAAGTCAAATTCTGTTAATAAACAGAAAGAGGATTTTGTAATGATAAAAGGGTCAATTCATCAAGACATAATAATTATAAATACATAAGCACCTACCAACAGAACCCCCAAAATATATGAAGCAAACAGCAACAGACTAGAAAGGAGAAATAGTCAGTTCTATTAGGTAGCATAGTGCCTAAGGCACTTGACTGCTAACCAGGAGGCTGGCGGTTCAAACCCACCAGCCACTCCTCGGAAGGAAGGTTGGGCAATCCTACTTCCGTAGTGATAACTGCCTCGGAAACCCAAGGAGGGGTCACTAGGAGTCGGGGCCGACTTGATGGCAAATAACAAAAACAACATAAAAATAATTGGAGACATGAATACATCATTTTCAATAATGCATAAAATATTTAAAGAAATGAACAAGGAAATAGAAAACCTGAAAAACACCGTAAACCATGTAGACCTAAAAGGCATCAATACACTACTCTAAAACAGCAAATACACATTCTTCTCCAATGTACATGGAATCATTCTCCAGAAAAGACCATCCATATTAGGTCACAAAACAAGTCCCAATAATTTTTAAAGTACCTTCTCTGACCATAATGGAGTAAAACTCGAAATCAGCAACAGAAACCAGAAATTACACAAATATGGGAAATAAAACAACAAATGGGTCAAAGAAAAAAAATCCCAAGTGAAATTTGAGAATCCCCAAACCCACTGCCATTGAGTCGATTCTGGCTCAAAGCAACTCTAAAGGACAGAGTAGAACTGTCCCTATAGGTTTCTAAGACTGTAAATCTTTACAGAAACAAACTGCAACATTTTTCTACCATGGAGTAGGCTTTTTGCCAAGAACAGCACTTTAATCACTGTGCCACCAGTGCTCCCAAATTAGAGAATACCTACAGACAAAGAAAATGAAAGCACAGAACACCAAAGCTTACGGAATGCAATGAAGGCAGTGCTCAGTGGGAAATTTATGAATCTGAGTGTCTACATTTAACGGAAAAAAAAAGATCAGAAATCAATAACTTTATACCTTGAGGAACCTGAAAATGGAAACATTCTAAGCACAGAGCCACCAGAAGGGAGGAAATAATAAAGATCAGACAGAGATAAATAGAGAACAGAATACAATACTGAGAATCAGCAAAACCAAAAGTTCTTTGAAAAGATCAATAAAATTGACAAACCTTTAGCTAAAGCAATTAAGCAAGAAAAAGATATAAAGGGCATCTAAATTGGAAAGGAAGAAATAAAACTCCAGTTTTCACAGACAACCAAAAAAACCAAACCAACTGCCATGGAGTCAATTCTGATTCAAAGCAACCTTATAAGACAGAGAAGAACTTCCCCATAGGGTTCCCAAGGCTGTAAATCTTTACTGAAGCAGACTGCCTCATCTTTCTCCCATGGAGCAGCTGGTGGGTTTGAACTGCTGACCTTCTGGTTAGCAGCTGAATGCTTTAACCACTATGCCACCTGGACTCCTTTAGCACAGACAACATGATCCTACATATAGAAAAGCACAAAGAATCCACAAGAAAGCTGCTAAAACAGAATTCCCAGGTGTATAGTAGAGCTGACAAGGGGCAAGGTTATGGTCATTACTTGGTCACAGCCAGCTACCCAGAGGGACCAAGTAGTTGATCCTGC